TCAAGTTGCTCTATGGTGAGCATTGAACAACAACAACAACAACAACATCAACAACAACAACAACAGCAACAGCAACAACAACAACAACACAACATTGACAAGAATATCCGTGGCTTGGCTTCCAAAAGGCCTCTCTACATGCTTCCACCCACCAATAAACGCAACAAATTGAGGTGGTCCACCCCTCCCTGACCTACAGCTGCTCTGGTGCCTGCATATGGTGTTCCAGATTCACCTCAGCTCCTCCGTCGGCGTTCCCAAGCCCATCCGAGCACAACTGTCAAGCACTGCATTCACCCGCTCTGCGGGCAATGTTTGAGGCATTTATGGTCAGCTGATAGAATAAATAACTATAAGGTGTGATTATTGGGAAGGCATTCATTCAAGGGCCTGCAGGCAGTGAGGGGCAGCCGACAATCAAGACCAAATAGTTATACGCCATTTGCTCCATGGGCCATGACTGAGCAACTACACGAGGGCCGACAAAAGATTGCCATGCGCCTGCCACGAAATCCACACTTCAAGGTCCACAGATTGCTGCGCCTGCCACAAAATCTGCACGATTCACATCGCGCAGCCCTGCCAATGCGATTCGCAGCACGAGCGCTTCCAAAGACAACATCAAGATGTCAACCCCAAATCAGAGCACACCATGTCCTGTGATTAGACGAACCTCGCAATCACTCTCTTCAGTTCATTCGGAATCCTTCCCCTGTAGAAGAGGAAGAACAAAACTGTGTTTAAGTGGAGGGAAGAGGAAACATTGAAAAACAAGAGCCGGGAAACAAGAAGGCCAAAGAAACCAAACACTAAACACACAAACAAACACATGAAATACAAGTGCACAACTTAAGGGCAAAAGCAAAAGGTTCGAAAGAAGAAACATCAGCAATAGCGACAAGTCAACGTCAACCAAATTCAAGAACGAAAAGCAAATCCGCCCGCACCGAAGGTGCTGGGGCGTGTTAATCCGGATGGCATAGTCAATCGCAAGATTTCAGCTTTAGCTGGGGGGGGCATTAATTGTCGGACAAGAAACCTCAGTTTTTGAAGGTTGTTGAAAATCGAGTGCAACAAACTCATAAATACGGCATTTGATGAAGGTTTTGGGTCACGCACTTTTTTGAGGCGTTCTTGAAAAAGTTTAAAACATGTTGGGTGTTTGAAGATGTTGTCAAAAATGGCCAGGTTGAACCGGCATAAACAAACATCAGCGGCTTCATGGTACGGCTCTAGCTGGCTAGGGGTTCGTATTAGCCAGGTAGAGCCGGGACGGTAGGACACCAGTCCAACTATACTACTGCCCTGCTGACACCACAGCAAACAAGGAGAGAAAACAGCAAAATAGTTGCAAAATAGTTGAAAGGCTGTAGCTGGGTTCAGCAGATAGCTCTCCGGTGCATCAAATCTAAAGGCTAAGGAAAAATAGCAGCAAATGGGTTCAATCATTACACACAAATAGTCATGGACAAGGAAGCAGGGAAGTAAGAAGAAAACGCAACCTAAGAGCGAAGAACGAGGGAAATATGGAGCCCAAAAAACACAGTTATATAAGAAACATGACAAAACGATGACAAAACGGTTCATGGTGCTTCGGAACTAGCCTTCAGCCGGGAAACACCCTAAACACATCGATGAATTACAGTAATCATACCAAACAATGGCACCATCAACACGTACTTGTCCTGAGATGTGGTTGTCGGCCACACGCATCGCACGCGTCAGCATGCAAAGCAGTGCCAGGCACAGCATGTTGAAACGCACCACCATAGCGGTGCGCTTTGAGAAGTGGTTTTGCAAACGGTTTGGGATGTTTGGGCCAAACACTGCGGGGCGAGGTGTGAGGTGACGTTCCGGCAGAAAGCTGTGGCGGGTGAACTCGTGACTGGCAGAAAGCCAAGCTCTTTCAGCACTGAGGAATTGTTATGGAAAAGGCCATACAGTCCGTCAAGATCCCGGACCCCTTGAAGGGGAGAACAGGAAGCACTTCAGTCGGGGTCAGGTTTCGACGATGCCCGGGGCCTCCTATGGCCTGGGGCCTATGGCCTATGTATGGCCCACGCGGTCACTCTTTCTGAACACAGGCTTGTGCCATGTGCCTGTCACAGCGCCCAGCTGGCATATGCTGGCAACCTCATTACCGGACCATTGTCAGTGGTGACCATGAGCACCCTTCACCAAATGCATGAAGGTAAAAACACACCTCGATGTTGAGAGCTTGTGATGCTCAGCTTCAGTAAGTCATTCTTGTCTAACTTATTAACTTGTACTACTAATACTTATTGTAATATGATGATGATGATAATTGTTTACTGACTGTTACAGGCAATAGGACAGACCCAACATATATTGTTCATTATTGTTCACTTATCTTTTTTACACCCAAGGTACCTTCTGGCAACGCTCGCTGTCTCGCCATGCTCGCCATGCTGTCTCGCCTCCCGACGGTCCACCCTTCGCCATAGAAAACACATGAAAAAAACACCTCTCTGGAGATGTCAGGAATAAACATTGCTTTCCAGATTCTTCCTCCCACAAATGACATGGCCCAGCTGCTTTGTATAGTTCAATCTTCCCCTTCCAGATCTTTAGTTTGTGAACCGATCCCGTGGCTTTGGTTTTGCCACCTGCAGTCCCCTTCTTCCCCCTCAAGAAAACATGGACATCCAATGAGTTGACTCCTCACAAACAAGTCTGCTGACCGTTTTTATTATGCGCACACACACAGTATACTGTGATCAAAACGCAATAGCTCAACATAACGGATGAACCTTGCAACATGCCTTGACATCTCGCAAGCTCCTTGACACCACATGAAAACGCTCAACTGGTCGAACCCAAGTGGCAGACCAGCTCCGGTTTGGTTGTGCCGAGCTCCCGGGAGCCTGGAGGTGCCACGTCGCCCACGTGAGGGCCAAACGGCCGACCTCGCTGGAGCGCCGACCGCGGCAGAAGGCAGAAGGGGGGGGTGAGGGCGGGTGGCACGCGCACGCCCAGAGCTCTGGGTATGCGTCCAAGGAACAGGTGGATGCAAAATGCCATAGGATGCCAGGATGTGCAAGCTTCGGCCAGCATTTAAGTGGTTGCCATGAGACTGGTCAAAAAAGTGATTTAAAACAACGAAAACAATACGGTGCTATAGGTTAGACCCGACCTCCACGATATGCACCAAGAGACCGGCCAAACCATCACAAACCATGACCGACTGATGACGATCTGAGCATGGAGACGAATGAAGGATCCACACAACGCAGCCTAGGTTTGTATACTCCCCTGCGGATTAACATGGGCTGTAAAGGAAAATGGTCTTCCACCGGTCAATTCTCAGTTTCCATGCAAGTTTGCTGGGTTTGTATATATATATAACCTGTCGCCAACATGTGCAGCCTCATGGGCGGTATCACACTGCGCCTGCCACGCGGTTTGTCTCCGCATCCCAAAACGACAACCGTTGGCGCAACTTTTGATGTTCAAGCTTCCTCAGCTAGAAAGGGTCACTGGACTTCCCCGCCCAAAGAGTTGCAGTGAACCAGCACTGATGCATCTCTGCACGGCAACTTGTGTTGAGGAGAAATCGGGTTACACTGCAAGGACCTTCACATCAGCTCATGGTGAAGCCAGCCATGCACTGGCGGGCTGAGACAACGCCACAGCAGTCTGGCCACGGTTCTCAGGGAGAGGAAGGCCCCTGCACCCAAGAGCGACAGGACGCCACAGATGATCATCGCCTCGACCGTTGGAGGTGCACTCGACAACTCCTCACCCCCTCCAGCAACCCATGGGGAAACTCGCCATGGCATTTTGCCACGGTCACCGTGCCTACATGCGCCTACCAATCCCAAAGAAACAAACACCCAAGGCTATACACAGCAGTCGGAGTTTGTTTCGGTTGGCTGGGTTTTGAAGCCGCCAGACCCATCTCTATTCACATCCATTCACATTCACATCCAAATATCCATCTTCATCCATCTTCCACGAACTGTTGAACACCTTCGACCTTGTTTCATGTCCACCACACCTTCCCGCAAGCCACCCGACACGGCGCTTACGCCTGAAGGATCCGATCCCGGCGCTTACGCCGTTCGGCCGTCGTGAAGCTCAGTTCTCCATCCTGGAACAGCGCCTGGCTGTCGGGGTTGGGGTGGATGGATAGGTGGGCCATGGGGAAGACCATGCTTCCATAAGAGTTGCTGAAGCCCGCTTTTATCTGGTAGACTCGCAGACTAGCCTTCCTTAACCTTCCAAGACATTTCTTGATGATCCTCTCCACAATCCCACTATGTTCCACTGTTCCAATTCGCACGTCTGATCAACTGCGGAGTCTCCCACCAGCAGGCCCGGAGCAAACACGCTGGGGAGGAGCTTCCGGAAGATCGAGTCCTTGGGGGGCGGAAAGCACGGAAAATCGGAAGACACTCCGACCAAACTAACTAACCCCATAATATGAGCCTTTGTTCTTATTGGACCATAGAGGGCCATAGACCAGAATCGGAAAACGAGGGGGGGAAATCACCAGTCCGCTTCCGCACCACCGACACAGTCCACAAACCACCGATTGTCGAGGTCCATGTTAGCCAGGAAGGAAAAGGAAGAAGTAGTCCAAGGGTCCATGGTCCTTTTAGCAAGGATTCTGTTTGACGGGGGGCCTTTGAAGAAGGATTCTGTTTGACAGGATTCTGTCTGAAAAACGAATGGACATCCACATTGATCCACTATCCACCCCTTTTAAAGCAATTAAACATCATGATAGAACGACAGGCCTACACCAACTGCTGCATGTGCCCCATCTCTTTCATACCCCCAAGGTTCCCCACATGGAAACAAAGATGCATCCTTATAAACGTTTCTTCCAGGTCATCGCATCATCCTCCACCTAGAGAATCTACAAACAATACTGTAAGGGCATAGGCTAAGAGGCATTCCCTGCCATCACCACATCATCCCCTCACATCTCGCTTCCCGCTCTTCAGCAGTCTCGGCTCCAAAACGATGGGCAACACAAAGGCCAAGGCAAAAGCCAAGTCAGTCGCCTCCAAGGCAAAAAAGGTTTGTGTACATAGATGTACGTAGAATCTCTGTTCAATCTACTGGGGTGTATATAACTAGGCCTGGAACTACCTTGCACATTTGAAGATGCTTAATGGGCATTGCTGTTTATTGTGCATATCCCATGACCTGTAACCGTGGATGATGATGGTTGGTAGAGGCCTTTCTCAAAATAGTGATACTCTTTTACCGACTTTTACTGGTAGTGGGACACCCTAGGTGCTCATCACCTTTTGTATTAGTCTCTTGGGAGCCTGCAAACGAAAAAAGAAAAGGACACCACCCACCGTCACCCCTACCCCTGGTGTTCTGGCACGTCCAGCCTGGTCGAAGCGCCGCTGGCAGCGTACCAGGCACTTCGCCTCCGGCGCTCGACGCCTCGGCGCTGCTCCGCTGCAAGCTGATCCCAGGTGATGGTGGAATACTGATCTCCCTTTCTACACTTTCTTTACGTTGAGGAAAGGTATATATAATATAGAACTATATATATACATATATATATATATATCATATCTCGAATGTGTCTGCTTCAAGTGGCAAGGCCGCAGTGGAGGCTTGTCAAGTCATTAGGTAGCGAGTCTTCAAATACCAGGGTGAATCATTCAAGAATGTACTGGCAATGTAACTAGTGGTAATTAGGCAGGGGCCCCGGGAAGATCGAGGAAGTAGACCATCATAAGCTGAGGACCTCCCATGGAACGAGTTCAAAACCTGACGGGTGCTCCCACCGTCCGACTCATCTAGACCGTTCAAGAACCAGGTCCGCACCGCAATGATGTGCACACCGTGCAATTGAAAAGGCTCAAATCAATATATGCCAGCCCAAGGCTGATGAACTCTGACTCCCAGTCACCAAGTCTCACCGAAACATGTCAAGAAAATAAGCAGCAAACTTCCAGTACGTGGTTCCTCATCGATGCCCTCGGCAAATTGGAAAGCCTCACTTCTCCCGCTGCACACCGTCTCCTCGCTGCTTAGACCACCCGGAATCCTTCCCCTTTCCGGACGACGGCCATCCTCCCCAAGCGCGGTGCAGCGCCTCGTGTAGAGGGGCAAGGCTTTGGAGAGCTCCGCGTCGCACTCGCCCAAGCCTCCGGCCCGACGACCAGAAGCATGCCGTTGGGCCGTTGGGTGTTTTTTTTCACTCAAGACGGCGCGACCAGGTAGCACTGGTCCAGCACAGAGATGTCTTCAAAGCCGCTGTTGAGACCCAAACCTCAGTTAAGACTAGAAGACAAAGTCTATCGGAAGCTGGACAGGTCACAAGTTCAATCCACCGTACTTGGCCGTTCCCTCCAAGTCACCGTTCGATCAGTCAGCCTCTACGTGAACTCAGTGACCTTCTCGGTGACCGCCCCTCGGCTCCGGACCGAAGAAAGGCTTCACCGAGTGAATCGCATCGCCCAGCAAGCAGCACTTGCCACCTGCAGAGGTGAAGGCGACATGGAGAGACGACATCGCCTCCCTCAGTGAAGCGGAAAAAGACAAGGGTCCGGCCACTTCTCCTGATTGGGTCCACACGGGTCCACCCAGAATGAGCATGATCTGAAAGAAAAAATCCCGTGAGATTCACAGGCAACCCCGATTCGCGCCTAGGTTCAGCTCTGGCCCGGCGTAGGCGAACCGCGGCAGCTGCCGCGTCTTTCGCGCGGCAAAGTTGTCCCACCTGGGTGCTGTGGGTGGGCTGGCCTTGGCTAGCCTTTAGAGGTGAATTTTCTCTGGAGCTGGACTTAGAAATGCCCAATTCGTGACCTATTGACTCCTTGATTTCTGCACATTTGTCCTGAAAACTTCCTTGCCAACTGTTGTCTTTGGGGGACGTGTTCCAGCTCCCTTCATGTTTAGGCCCGCGGCTCTTCATCGGTGATCATTGGAGTAGGCCATTCAGGGAAGAGCTCCTGCTGCGGACGGGCAGAACAAAACTGCCCGTGCTAGTCAACGTCCCTGGGGCACTGATGAGAGGGTGAAACTCCCGCAAGAACCGTTGCGCCAGGACTGGGTAAGTCAGTTCGGGGCACCTCCCTGTAAAGGGTCCAAGGCAAACTGGCTGACTCTTCCTCTCGGGGCAGTCTTCATTCACAAAAGTCAAGGAACATAATGAGGCTGGGGAGTTGTTTCAAAGAACCTCATCTCGCCGTGAGTCCAGTCGACAAGTGTCACCGTAGAAGGCTGGCACTTCAACCAGTAGCTTTTGCTGCTGGGTGCTGGGGCCAGGGATCTCTCTGATTTCGTGAGTATACCTCATCCGCAAGCAAAGGGCCGTCCTCAAAGACCTTCTTCGCCTCAGCTCCTGACTCTCTCTCTCTCTCAGATGATCATGGCAACGGCCTCATTGGCGCCTCATCACTTGGCATTCCGAAGAGCTATATAATATCTTCCCCTCCCAAGTGAATGGGTCTTGCCAGGATATGGACCCGTCACCAACTCAACGCTTCGCCACATGGTAAATGTGTCCAACAGTCTCTTAACACTGGTGATGCACAAAGTGTTTATATAAGTTCAATTCTGTCTATGTCTCTTACAGTGCATTAGGCAAGAGTGGTTCATCAAGCAACTGGGAAGGCATGTCATTCTTGCGCGCTCATCCTGCTAAGTACACTTGCCAGCTTCAACCGAGGTTGTGCCAGAATTTGGCAGCCTCACCTCGCAGTGTAAGGAGCCGGTGGCAGCATAATAACCACCCGGCTCTCGGCAAACCAGCTGCATAGTTACCCGCCAAAAAGAACCGAACTCAGCCACATCTGCATGTATATAACAGTAGAACCGTGCTACGCCACATAATCCCCCAATGTTTCCCACAGTCTTTCCACATGCCGCGTCCGTCCTGATTTCAGCCCTTCGATCCGCTCGTCCGTGGGGCGGAACAAGACCACACCAAGGAGATCGCCCTCCACGTTGGGCAAGGCCTTTCAGTGATAGGCATGGATCAATATTAGTTGAGACATCCCATGACATCACAACATCGATCCTCCAATGGGATGACAACAAACAACGGCAGTTACGACCCATGCCCACAACTGGTCCAAAAAAAATTCACCCTACCCATGCCACTTGCTATGAGAAAGCCACATCAGGAAAAAAGGGTCTTCCCTAGGAAAGGTTTGAAGCGGCTATCATCTGACTCCCATCCACGATCATGTCTTCCAAGGAAAAATGCTAGGCCCATCTGCCCCCCGAAGCTTGCCTCCACAATCACCTCAGCTCGCACAGCGAACAGCACATGCTAGTGCCCAGGAAATAACATTGGAACACTCTTCAACTGATGTCAATTGAATTGCACTGAAATCAATAGAAATCATGTCCATATTATGTACATTTGGGCACCACCCATGCAACAGGCCAAGGCACGTTGTCCTTGCGTACACTGTAGTTCAGCTCTGTGCTGTCTTCCTTCCCTGTTGGGATGGCCAAGACGCGATACACAATCGGCCGCCGATCCTGGCTCAAGGGACAGCTGTTTTGAGAGCAGGGACATGGCATAGGTGATAGGTAGGTGCCTTGTGGAGGGCCTTTGCCTAAGGAGGAATGGTCTATATAATATGGGTTAAAAATGGATGCTGGGCATGTCTGTGCGAAATTCTTGGTCTTCCTCTGCCAGCTTCCTTGGATGGATGCGACACCTGAGCTTACATCAGGGAGCGAGTCAGCCAAACTGAGATCAGCCCCGCCCACAAACGAAAAAGATCCAATGATCTTTCACCAAGCTGTTCACACTGCAAACGGTGTCTACCACCAACGCCGGCACCCCAGAAGCGCCTGGAAGCGCGTCTGTTCCACCCGGGCGCCGGCCGCCTGCAAGGCCCCGCGCACGGCGGAGCGGATGCCGTCGCAGCCTAGCACCAGATCGACCTGCGGTGCTGCGGTGCTGTTTGGTCGATGGGATTGGCACGGCACACGCCGTGTAAAATGGCCAAGAATGGGCAAGGCATAGGGAACATAGGGAACATCCAAGAATACCGAATACCTGGTCTTGGAGTGGCTACTTCCTTCACCTTCGAGGTCCTATGATGTGGCAGCACGCTTCGTAGAAGCATCCGACCACTTCAACTTGTGATGTCCAAGCCTTTCGGGGCAAAAACTGTCGAGTTGGGAATTTATAGTAACATCAACAAGCTTCTAATGATTCTATGTAACAAATCCCCCGATAAACTTCCAGAGTGGTCTTGACCCAGATCACCTCCGACTCACATCATTTGGCGGGTCTGTCTTTGTTATGGACAGTGCTCGAAGCTATAGATTCTTTGGCACCTGAAATCCATATTGCAAATTTCAGAACAACCAACTGGTCTAAACACTCCAAAGGGCCAAGCCCTGTTCTTCAGCTCCCAAGTCCAACACCAGCGCTGCCGGCGCTACCCTGCACGTTCTTCTTTCTACAGACTTTTTCACACGCCACGTCCAACCAGCTGCCCTCGTATTCTCGCAAACGTTGTCCTGAGTTGGGTCACCAACGCTGAAACGAAGGGGAATTTGTTGGGGTTGGTCTCCACATGAGCTGGTCAAGCTCCCAAACCGAACCCAAGTCTGTTCGGGGTAGAAAAGGGACCGACCACCTGCAACAGCGACAGCGTCACACCACACACACTCGGAAAATATGTTTATAGCGAGGCTAAACACTATATAGCATATATCACGTATCCTCGGAGCGGCATGTGCCGAAGGCAATACATTCAGACTTAATTAGTTTTCCTCCGCGCGCCATGTGTCAATGACAGGTCATCTCCGCTCTTCCATGTCTCCAAAAGCCAAGGGTCAGAGGCGCGAACGTCCCTGCTCCAGTTCGGCCGGGACCACAGGACCGAGCGATCTGCTCAGTTTGCTCAGGCCAGGCGTGTCAAGAAGATGGAGTAGGCCGGATATTGGTAGAGGAAGGTGCGCTTCTCCTCTAGGGAAAACCCCAATCAGACGCTCACATTGATCTGTCTCGCAGCTTTCACTAAGTATACGGAGCAGATTCTAGATGATTCTACAGTAGATGAGTTTCAAGATTTTCAAGTAGGCTGCAAGCAATGAGCCGGATAAAGAGCCTTCAGAACTTCAGGATACCAGAGGTGAGCTCAACAAACATCAATCTCAGCAAACACCAATGTCGAGTGTGGACCTGGAACAGTTTCCTTTTTGAGTCCTTGCGCCACTTCTGTGTTCATTCTTTGGAGCGGGAGCCATGTCGCTGGTGCGTTTTTCTCCTGTTTGGTCCCTGGGCAACCGACCATGGGACCATGGATGACCATGGTCGAACTCTCCTCCAGCACATTAGCATTGGGTGGAAAAAGGTAGCCATCTTCCACCTCGTCCGCTCCCGCGAGGCCCGTGATGCTCGCCCAGGACGACATCTGAACACCCCGGCTCGTCCCGGCGATGGCACGGTACACGCGGGTACCGCGGGGAAACCGAACTCGTCGATGTTTTTGGGGTTGGCTCTGCCGGGACAACACCAAGAGAATCGGTAAATGGATGTAAGTGTCAAGTTGTCAGGAACACTTGTGAGAATAGCAAGCCATGAGCCAACAGCATTGTGTAGATAGCCATGATGTACTAATATACTTCTGACAGTCGAGTTGCCATGAGTGCAACAAACACGTCCTGGCTGGCCGGAAACACCCTGCAATACAAATCGCACAAACCCTTCCTTTTGAACGACTGAAACATACAACCCACCTATCTTAGAACCATTTACTAGGCTCAAAGTGAGCTCCATCTGATCCAAGTCCAGGTGCTGCATCAAAGTCGACCTCGACCCCATCGGCGGCGATGTCATGTTCTTTCACAAATTCATGGCCTCAACACGTCGTGCCAGGCACATGTACCAGGCACCCTGCTTCATGCCGCTCATGAGTTTTTGCAGATCTTCTTTAACTGGAGGTTTGGAGTCATCAGCAGCGGGTGGAACCAAATTACTTTTGGATGTTGTTAAGCGCACTGGAGATTCCTGTTTGACCTCCTGGAGAGAGCAGAATCACAGCCAAAATCTGAGCGCTCGGCTGTCCTCAAAGCACCTCAGCCATTCCCAGTTGCTCATGACCTTCGCAGCCGCAGATTCACGGCTGTCAGACCGGAGATAGGAAGAACAAGTATATAACATGGGCAAAGTGGGGGGGGCATGCCAAAACATTTTGAACATTCCTGAACTGACCAATTCGGTCCCCCAAAGGTCAAGTGACCAACTGGCTCTTTCCCTTCATCTACTCCCTGACCAACGCGTCTTCGCCGCGTTCTTCTCTCCGAGCGGCAGGGCCATGGTTCCAGCCCAGGAAGGCTCGACCCCCAATCTTCAATTTCCGCACCAGCTGAATGCCCACGCTGCCTGACAGGTTGTGGCGAGAAGGTCTGATTTTCAGGTCGCAGTAGGATCAAGTTGGTGCTCAAAAACTGGTCGCGTCTGGTGGTTTGGCCAGTTGAGAATGGAATCCTGCAAAACATCCACCTTCACCAAGCTACGACTTCACCAAGCAGGGCAACCAGGGGGGTCAGCGATTCATGGTGGCTCTCCGTTCATGATAGGTACCCCTCAGTGAGAAGCTCAACGGCTCATGCTATTGATCATCTGTTCATAGACGGAACCATCAAACCCCCAAAAAGCAAACCAAGCGGCATTGATCGTGCTTCTCCAAGTGGTAGATGGAGGCATAGGAGATCACGTGATCAAAGGTCAGCTGGCACATGTGGCGAAATCCAACTACGAGTACTTCCCAGTCACCATGCCCAAGGAATTGAATCCACTAGAATTTCTCACCCCAAACATGACTCGGCGGACGAAACCGACTTAATATAAGAACTCCGATGCACAAAAAGAACATGAAACAACCCAAATATTGTACATAATAACTTGGTACTTCTGCGCATGGAACACACACCAAAAAACACTATACAGTAATAATATGCATCTCTATATAGTTCTTTTTTGGGTGACATACATACATACATTACATTACATTACATTACATTACCTACATACATACATACATACATACATACATACATACATACATATATATACACTATCATTACATACATCACGCTATTCATGTCCGTACATCATTGTTTTTTTTCCAACCCGGCCGCCATCCGGCCGCCTCCGGGAGCCAACTGAGGTTTCGCCCGTCGCCGTGGCAGAACATCCCCGCGCTGTGGCTCTGTGCCCAGCGCACGGCAGGCTCCTGTGGCCGGACGCCCTCGGAGGAACATCGTGAAACGAAGTGGAGTTCACCCCCGATGTTTCGTAAAGGAGTCTTCCAAGGGACCGTGCCATGCACTTCCATGTGTTTTTTCTGAGTCAGAGTGTATCGGTGTTCCCCATGGATCCAAAGAGACCATCCACCGAAGGCAGCGACGAAATTGAGTGACTCACTTGCTCTTAACCATGAGCATTGTAGGTTTAAGCTTTGCTGCGTGCCCCCGCTTCTCCGATTGTCACAAACACATGCAGTACCCATATAGACATCTAAAGACCGCCGGTTCACATCCACGCCCCAAGTCCTCTGCATTCCACCGTATTCCACTGCAAAACTGCTTGGCACAACCTCCGGTTTCGACCATCTTTCCACCCCTACGTCCGTTCTCCTGGATCTCCACCCCGACACCCTCCACATCAAAGAGCATTTTGGCCCAAGAGAGCCTCGGCTCCGGATGCCCGCTGCGGGAAACCAATTCGCGTGAAGGACCTAAGGACCCAAACATCCATGCCTCGAGCAGCGCCTCAAGAGAAGCAAAGCACCAAAGCCCAAGCAGCACCACACCCTGTGTGCGCCATGTTTGATTCATATCATAGTGGTTGATAGAAATTCCTGCGCCATTCTTTGTGAAAACAATCTTTACTCTAGCAAACGTGTTGGCGAACTCCATGTTCAACATTCGCAAGGGGGGGGTGTATGCTAGAAGTCTCTTTGGTTTGGTTGTTTCTATACCCATCTTTGGCAGATCTTTTGCGACATCTTACATTCGCAAACTTTGAAGTTTCTGTTGTGGTGCACAAAATGGCCGGCCAACTGTTGTTTTCTGGGTGGAACTCTAGAACTTACATACGAGGGGACGTGCAATCCGGGAGGATTTTGAACGGGACACTCAGGGACACTCAAGGACAGTCAAGCCACCAAGTTCGAGGCAGCCACTCAAAGACACTCAAGGATGTCCGTGAGTGTCCTTGAGTGTCCTTGAGTGTCTGGTCTATATCTTGGATAACCTTGAGTGTCCTTGAGCGTCCTTGAGTGTCTGGCTTTTTTGAATGACGTTGAGTGTCCCGAAGTGTCCTTGAGTGTCTGGTCTATTTCTTGGGTGATCTTGAGCGTCCTTGGGCGTCGTCTAGTTCTTCTTATAGATGACCCTGAGTGTCCTTGAGTGTCTTGAGTGTTTGCTTGTGTCCTGGCTCAGACTTGTTTAAGTGTCTTCAAGTCTCCGTCCTTTAGTGTCTATAGTCTACACTTTTATGTTTCTGGCGCCCCTGTTTCTGGCGTCCCTAGCTGTGAGGGTAGTGCACGGAAAGGGCTTAGTAGAAGCCTATTCCACTAACTTTGTGGAAGGTCCGGTCATTCGTGGAACCCTTGCCTATTCACATAGCATTCGTGGAATTCTGGATCCTTAGGAATACAAACTCCAACAAAAACTGGGAAACCTTCGCAGGACTTAGTGGCAAGCTTTTTTGGGGTAATGCACTAGCCTCGTAAGGATATTTTGTGCTCTCCCTATTTCCGCACACACAAACCCTCCATTGTGGGGAGGGCAATGGTATCCCTTTTGAGATTTGTGAAGCATTCATCGAGACCATCGCAGCTGGATATGTCGTGGCTCATGCACGGATCCGGATATAAGGTAGAGAAAGCTCATAGAAACTTAAGGACACGCTCCATTGAGGA